AAAAAAAAATTTAGCAAAAATATCAATATTCAAGAAGTTAAGTGAACAAAAACAAACATACACCAAATTCTGACCTCACAGCTTATTTCGTGCAATACATTTTTTTTTAGAAAATTAATCATTTTTGGCATAAAAAAGTGAATTTTAGTATTTAGTGGAATAGTCCTTTTGTTTAATTACTGCCTCCAACCCTGAACGCATTGAAATAACTAATTTTTGAGTATATTCCACTGATATTTTTTGACATTCCAATTTTAAAGCAGCTTTCATACTTTCCTTGCTATAAATGTTATGTTTTCTTATGTTAGGTTCCAGAATATGCCATAAATTTGCTATGACACTAAAGTCAGGTGATTGGGGAGGTGTTTGGATGATGTGTGACCAATTCCCAACAAGCCAAGTCTGCACAAGACCCGACTTGTGCTTCAGATCGTTATCCTGGTAAAAACAGAAATTGTTAATTATGCCTAAATATTCGGCACTTTTATGCAAATTTTGCTTTAATATATTAAGATACACTTCTTTATCCATTGTTGATTTTATAAATTGTAGATTACCTACTCCTGCCGCTGATTTACACCCCAATACTATCACATGCTTGCCACCGTGTTTAACTGTGCCATATAAATTTTCTTTTTGGAGCTTAGTATGTGATATATTTGGCGTATTTTTAATAGTATTTCACATATGATATACCATCTGAAGCGTAGAGATCAAATTTACTCTAATTGACAAAAAATACTGCGTTTCAGAAAGAACTATTCTTGTACAGGTGGTGTTTGGTAAACTGCATGCGAAACCGTCGGCAGGCATATGATAGTATTGGGGTGTAAATCAGCGGCAGGAGTAGGTAATCTACAATTTATAAAATCAACAATGGATAAAGAAGTGTATCTTAATATATTAAAGCAAAATTTGCATAAAAGTGCCGAATATTTAGGCATAATTAACAATTTCTGTTTTTACCAGGATAACGATCTGAAGCACAAGTCGGGTCTTGTGCAGACTTGGCTTGTTGGGAATTGGTCACACATCATCCAAACACCTCCCCAATCACCTGACTTTAGTGTCATAGCAAATTTATGGCATATTCTGGAACCTAACATAAGAAAACATAACATTTATAGCAAGGAAAGTATGAAAGCTGCTTTAAAATTGGAATGTCAAAAAATATCAGTGGAATATACTCAAAAATTAGTTATTTCAATGCGTTCAGGGTTGGAGGCAGTAATTAAACAAAAGGACTATTCCACTAAATACTAAAATTCACTTTTTTATGCCAAAAATGATTAATTTTCTAAAAAAAAATGTATTGCACGAAATAAGCTGTGAGGTCAGAATTTGGTGTATGTTTGTTTTTGTTCACTTAACTTCTTGAATATTGATATTTTTGCTAAATTTTTTTTTTGTTTTATAATAAGAACTAAACATTCTTTAAAGTTGCATATTTAAAATTTTTTATTTTGAACAAAATTTTGGATTTTCACGACTAAATCTACAAAAATATTGCTTGCACGAAATAAGCTGTGAGCCACTGTATATATATATATATATATATATATATATATATATATATATATATGTATATGTAACTTTAATAAAAAACAAAAACTCCATTTAATATATACATATATTTTTGATAACTTACTTCAAAATAAAACTGATAAAAGAACTGAAAAAATGTAAATGATGTCCATCTGTCTTTTAGAATGACTGCAAATAGTGGAGTAGCTGGATAGTGCCAAGGTGAATGATATGTTTTATGCAGTATACAAAATTAATTGTAATAATAGAAACTCAACTGAACCTTCGCAATGTTAGTAAGAAATGCAAAACGACATCAAACTGGACATATCCAAAAGCATCCTATTAATTATTGTGAAAGTACAAGCATTTCTTCTCTTTTCACACTATTTTGAAGCTTGATATATGTATATACATATGAATTTTGTGTAATTATATAAATTTTATATTTCTATGCAGTACACAACGGTTGCTGATTCAAAAAATAATGCACTAATTTGTGTATTTCTATATTCTTTACATACATAATATTAAAAAATAAGTATAATGCATATCAAAGACCTTTTGAACTACATACAATAACAGGTTTAATGAGACGATTCTATATTTTGTAAAATAGTCTCATGCAATTTGGATTTTGAATTGACGAAACCAAATGACTGTACATTGGAGCTGTTATATAAACTGAAACTCAATTCATTTTTTTCTATTATTTTTAAAAGTATGTATTGAAAATTGGTATCTTATGTGATATTGTAATGAACCTTTTTCTGTGGTTCGTATAGCGAGGGGTTTACTTAGCCGTCACTAAGATCTTCACAAGAATATATGTTTAATAAGACTCTGTCACTTCCGAAAACCGAACTGATCAGAACTCGATCCTGTAAATCCGACGATATAACACCGACACACGCAACTGTTAAAGCAACGTGTGTTATATTATATGATGAAGACAGCAAGCCCTTCACTATTCACCATAATGTGTCCAAGGATCAGAGACGTTAGGTTACTAACCTTCAGTTTCCGACATTATAGTATGGACACACGTTCCTGTTGAAGCCACGTCTGTTACACTTCCTGCGATCTAGATTCAATTACTGTTTAAGCGCTGAATCCTTCTTACCTTCAGTTCAGTTGTCTACCTCACTTTTTCCCGATTCCTCTCACACCGCTTATGTAGATTAACCTTATGTAGATTAATCTATTTGCACTCATGGAATTTTCGTTCAAAAAAATTATATTTAATAAAATTAATTTAACATAGCACTTTCATTTTAACATAGTACTTGCACTCAATCTTTATCTAAGTCCGGGAACTATCTATCTATTTATCTAAGTCTGAGACCCTCTACCAGGTGCACGCACTTTTTATATCAACAACGATCGACGGTGCTCTCCGTTAATGCATCGAAGTTCATTGACCATTGACAAAGCTCCTTTTTCTGCACTGCACCGAGCGAAAGTTCAGCTTTATGGCGAATATCCGTTTCTCACTCATGTGGAAGCTGGGATTTGTTCTTGCTTAAGCTTTAATCCAATTCCACACCTTGGCAGAAAAGCTTTCTTCGGGAAAGCTTTGCGGGGTGGATTTCGGTGAGTTGGTTTTTGAACTGGCGTCTTTCGATTTAATGTATTCAAGTGTGTGTTTGTGTACCATTTGTGAAATGTGTTCCTTGTTGATTTCTGTAGTTAATCATACCCGCAGATTTGAAACACAAAATGTTTAAGTTGATAACATTTTAGCCGTTACAATATGGATAGTGGAGTTAACAATGTAAAGAATGTAAAGAAAATTCGGTTTAAAACGTAACAATAGATCTGTGGCATTTTTCATAAGGTGTTCTATTATAATTAATTCATTTCAAATAGGTATATATTTAAATTGTTAAAAAATGAATCATTATCATTAACATGTAATCTTAAATGATGATTTAAGATAACTGAAACTCCCAAATTTTCATTTGTTAAAAGTATTACCAGATATCTATGATAGTTGTAATATCAATGGAATAAATAAAAAAAATAAATAAATAAAAAAAAAGTATATATTTATATTGTTAAAAAATACTAACTAATACTAAAAGCACATTAAATATACTTTTAAAAATAAATAGCATAATTTTTATACATTTACTTGGTTTTATCATTGAATTTTTTCCAAACACTTGCTTTATATCTTTGAGCCACTGTGTGTAGAAAGCTTCAAAAGTAAAAGTTTATTAATATTGATATTCAAATTTTGAATGAATTTTTTTATAAAAATAAATTTACGTGCATCGTTAATAGTTATAATGGATTAGCTGCACCTATGTGCAATCATATACACCTCTGTAGTCTTCAATACGGTGTCCGATTCCCATGGCATGAACATTCCAACAAAATATGGAGAATGGAATGTTAATATAAAGTCAGCTACACAAGTATGTGAATGCTCACTACACTTTAATTAGGGTAATAGTAAAATATTTTATTCCGATTGCCGTGATTAAAAATATAGTTTATAATGACATTTTAATTTAAATTTAATCTTATCCATAAGTAATTAAAAGATTTTGGTGTTCAATTTCAGAAATTGAATCGATTTAAAAAAATATAGAAAGAGATATATTACAAAAATTACAAAATTATTTAAATAATTTAATTTGTCTTCAGTATCATTAGCAATAGGTAAAATTTGTTTAACAAATAGTTCTAAAGTACATCTACTCAAAGTACTTTATACACATATTTACAACCTATTTTTGCTATTAACTAGTTAATAGTGTAGCAATTAGTCGCATTTTTTGTACAAAAATTTCGTGATAATTGATTCAAAATAGCACCATTATAGTCTAAATCATGATTTCTCAATTAAATAAAATTTAGTAAAAAAATTAGTCAATCCTATATAATTCATAATTTAAAACTTTTTGTGATAGATTATTTCTTTGTGTTGTTTTTTTTAATTTTGGTATTCGCTAATTGATTTGTTGTAGTATAAACACTTAAATTTAATTATACATCTGTAGTGAAAACATGTATTCAATTGTTGCAACTATCGCTAATTGAGACCTATTATTTCTAAATAGAGTATTATAAAATTGAGTTTATTTTAAAAGACAAAAAAAATATAATTGTTCGCGAAAAATAAAAGAGGCCCACCTCATTCGGTCTTGTCTTATCGTTATTTTAATTTGTTGTTGTTAAGGACTGCACAAGTATTCTGCTTAGCTGTACGTTTTTGTGTGAATAGTAGTACTATCAAGTATCACAGTTCTTCACGTTTATTAGGTTTAAATTGATAAGAATTTAAAATGAGTATAAATAATGAAACGAAACATTCTTTTATATCTCAGTATGAAAGTGTCGTTAGTTTATAGCGGTTTATAGTCCCAAAAGCGGGAAATATTAAATTAAGATTACATTAACGCTAGCTTTTGTTTGAATTTTTGAATTAAATTTGTATATAAAGAGAGAAAAAGAGAATTTTAACTGAAATGACATTATTAGAAGAAGAAAAATCAATTTCTCATAAAAATAAAAAACATCCATATTACTTGGCAGTAGTATTTTGCGTTGTATGGTATTTGCTATTCTATATAGCAACGATTCCCAGTTTCTATTCTTATCCTGAAACTAAATTTATAAGAGATGAAGATAAATACACCGACCAGTTTATTGGAGAAAGAGCACATGCCCAGCTGGTTGGATTAGCCACCATTGGCGTAAAAGTTGCTGGATCACCTGCAAATGAAATAACTGCTGTAAATTATTTACTTCAAGAAATAAGTAAAATCAAAAATGCTTCTCGTAGTGACCTATACAATATAGACGTTAATGTACAAAAAGCTTCGGGAGATTTTCGTTTAAACCGTTTAACCATCAACTACAATAACGTCACAAATATAGCAGTAAAAATTGCTGCCAAAAATTCGGAGAGTAAATCTTTTCTCTTAATAAATTCACATTTTGACAGCGAAATGGGTTCTCCAGGTGCAGGTGATGCTGGTGTCATGATTGCAATTATGCTTGAAACTTTGAGAGTTATTTCGATAGCAGAAAGACCTCTGAAAAATGCAATTGTCTTTCTATTAAATGGTGCCGAAGAAACTAGATTACTTGGATCACATGCATTTATTACACAACATGAATGGGCTCCGTTTTGCAAGTAAGTGACGTTACTATTATAAATGTTATAAAATATTATTATGAATATATAAAGGGCACTCATAAATCTTGATTCAGCTGGTTCTGGTGGAAGAGAAGTTCTTTTTCAAACTGGCCCAAATCATCCTTGGTTAATGAAGGTGAATATTGTACCAATTTGAGAATGCAAAATTAAACAGTTTTTAGATAATATTATATTTAGTATTATAGTAGAAGCGCACCTAATCCATATGCAACCACTTTAGCAGAAGAACTCTTTCAAAACAATTATATACCATCGGATACAGATTTTCGTGTTTTTCGTGATTATGGAAATATACCCGGATTGGATATGGCTCACACTTTAAATGGATATGTATACCATACGAAATATGACACAATTACAAACCTTGAAAGAGGAACATATCAAACCACCGGTGAGAATATACTTGCTTTAGCTTGGGCATTAGCAAATGCGGATGAAATGCAAGATACAGAGGTAACAATATGTAGTCCTAATTGATAAACTTATTCTATATCTACTTTTGTAGATTTATTCTGAAGGACACACAATATTCTACGATTATCTTGGATGGTTTATGATATTCTACAAAGAATCTACTGGAATAGCTATTAACATTACATCGTCCGTATGTGCTCTGATCGCAATATGCGTTTCAATATATATGACTACAAAGGAAAAATACATCGAATCGGCTAAGCATGTTTATATGAAATTTTCCATAATCATAGCAGTTCAAATTCTTACGGTCTCCGTAGCTATGGGAGTAACAATTCTAATTGGAGTTATTGTTGACACTATGGGTTTGACACAAGCATGGTACTCAGAAGAGTGGCTTATATTTGGATTATACTTTTGCCCAATGTTTTTCACATTGAGTATGATACCTGCACTCTACATACACTGGACAAAAAAAATAGTAACCACATTAGCACAAATCAAAAATTTCCTTTATTACTAATCCATCACAATTTTGTAGACGAGTTTAAAACTTAATGATACTATAGCCTTCTTTATGCATGCCCATTGCATTATATTGGTTTTCATATGTCTTTTGATGACTGGACTTAGTATACGTTCAGCGTTCTTTCCAATGATTGCAATATTCTTTTACGCGATATCAGTAATTCTAAATATTTTGGCCAAGTTTATATGCAAAGGTAAACATGCTTCGACATATAATTTCGCATATTAGAACTATGTAACCATATCCTCTAAAATGTTTTAGGAAAAGACTACTTCATTTGCATCCACTTATTGTGTCAACTTTTACCTTTTTGGTATTACACTTACCTGACTTTTGCTTTTTTAAAGACTTTTATTCCAATGCAAGGGCGTGATGGTGCTACGAGTAACCCGGAACTACTTATATCTGGATTCAGCGCAATTATGTCAATTCACTTCGCCGGTTTTATAGTAAGCTTGAAGTCTTATATGCTTTGTTACTTACTTACTACTTACTATTTTACTAGTTACCAATTTTACATAAGTTCAGAAAATCAATGACACTTATATCCGTTTTCGGTATATTGACAATAATTTTCGTAATAATTGCTGCTACCCCA